GATTTATTCAGATGAGATTTGCTATTGCCTCATTTGAAACTGAGAGTGTGGCTTACGGTCTTCTAGTGGGCTTCTATGGCCAAGCATGGATTTGAACTCTGGTTTCCAAGAACCCTAGTCTAACAATCAAGTGACTACACTATATTGGCTTGTAGGGTCTTGTATATACTAAAATTATTAACCAATGAATATGGCAGCAGAACCATAATGACAAAAGGATTCTAGCATTAAATCTGAAATGAAAGAAATATATCTCCAGAGGGAAAAACCACACATGATAAACTGGCATGATGTGCATGCACACTATTACAGATGGTGGCATCTGTGTTGCGCTTGGACTATCCCTTGCCTTGGACAAGAATTAAACCAAGAATTCTCAGGCAATAATTCTACATTAATCAAAATGATCTACTTCTAATTTGATACTTTCCAATTTTCCCCAGTTACATATGCTGTTTTATTTAGGGATTTTAGCTCCAAGACAAGGCATAAAAACATTGCATGTTCATATTTAACTGAACTGCCTTAGAAAGAAGACTGGATTATCAATGGTTCAGCTATGCAATTGGCAAAGATGTCTCACTGGTTAGGGCTCAAGTGCTGAACAAAAAAGATATCGTTTAGTCTTTCTCTTCTCTTCCAATATTATTTATTTTTATTTATAAAGATCTCCCAAAGTTGCTATTATGAACAGTTTGTTTTACGTACCCTCCAATTGTCCCAGTTTAGTAGGGACAATCTTCTGTCATCCCACTTTTTAAAGTTGCTTTTAAAATGCTCCACTTACGCTCTCCTCTCCACATGTTTCCCCTTTCCTCTCATCCTACTGCAATGCTGCAAAGTGAGTTAAAAATGTAAAAGTGTTTTGCACTCAATTAACTCAGCAAAGGGAAAGGAAAGAAGAGGGCAGACTCTTGCCCCTCCCAGTAGGCTCAGACAAAAGCAAACTGCTGCATCTTCTCCTAGCTAGTATGTTCTTCCTCATTAATAACATTTGCCATCTTGATCATACTCTGATGTTGCTTGGCCAAGCATGTCTCAATTTCCATCTTTGAAATGTTGGAGGTATGGTGCTACTTGAGTAACTGAATGAAAATGCATGGGTTTAGTGTCAATAAAGTAGCAGGGCTGAGAATGGGCTCATACACAAAGATTTTGGTGTTCAAAAGGCACCCCATTTTTGAAACCACTTCAGGGCCTCCATAACCTTAATCCAGACTTGTAGAGTCATGCCAGATCAGACCTTTCAGATGACCTATCAGATCAGTTCTAATGCTACAACTCTATGATTTCATAAAGAGTAAGATCCACTCATCTTCTTCTCAGTGGACAACAAATGTGAGAAACATATATTTCCCACTTCTGCTCCCAATTTATTCCTTTCTAAGGATTGTAACAACATGGGTAAATACAGATAGTAGTAAAAAGCCTGATATTTTTCTGTCTGATTGCTAGCCACAACCTGCTGGCAGTGGAATTAGAAACAGCCTGTACACCCTGCTTGCTATTTGGCTGACAAAATTCTAACCGAGCAAATTATAGGCTGTTATTCATTTTGCAATCCGGCTCTTGGGAACTTGTCTTTTGTAGCAAGGCCTGTCATTCTCCAAATCTCTCAGTGGGTTGGGCATTGGTCAGTGTTGCCTCCAACACAGGCCAAGGTGAAGAGAGGGATGGAACTTTGTATCTTTTGTGACAGCTGGGTACTTAGTTCACCGTTTCCCAGTAGTGCCTGGTCATTAGGAAGATCACTATCTTTAGTCCCAATATTCCTACCTGTTGGTGCTGCTATTTTAAATTGGAACCCCGACTGGGGAAACTGGGCTACTTTTGGGCAGTGGGAATCTAATATCAGCTCTAAGCAGTATAGTACCATGTCTGATGAGAAATATATGGAGTGTTCCTTGTAAATAGTTATTTATCTATTTATTGTTTGAACCCAGGGCTTGTTAGCAAAACCTTTCAAAAAGGCTGTGCATTAAAAGAAAATCAAAAAGCCCAGTTCATAATATATTTAGTGATGATATTAAAGGCAAATGTAGGAAATACTTGTAGGTATATTTCACTATAAAAAAACAAACAAATTTTTTTTAAAAATCTCTATTCAGTTAAAAAAAGAAACAATGACAATGACAAACAAAACAGACAGAACAAAAAAGAAACAAAGCCACTCACAAAGAAATGTATACTAAACGAATAGAATATTAAACACATAAAATAATCCAACTTATTCCTACAAAAAGTATATAGTTTTATATATCACTATTACTCCCTCTAACTTGAACAAACATATCCTTTTTACCAAACTCTAATCATTTAATGTAAATTATTGAATTCATGTAACCAACTGATGTAGTTTAATGTAAATTAAAGTATAAAATCATATCTTCCAACTCTTCTGATTTGGCAGGGACAGTCCCAATTAATCCTCTATCATCCCAATTTTTCAGCTGCTTTAAAAATATCGTGTCTCTGTCTCCTCCTCCCATTTTCTCCTTTTGTCTTCAGCTTACTTGCTGAAAACTAAGTTCAAAGTATAAAGTTGTTAGTATTCAATTAATTCTGCAGCAGGGAAAGGAGGAGATAGAATTCTACCCTCCTCAAAAGGTTCAGGAAAAAGAAAACTGCTACAGCCTTTGCTAGTTTGTGTATTTTTCCATGTTTGCCATCTTGACTACACTCTGATGCTGCTTGGCAATATGAGTCCATCTGTGAAATACTGGAGGGTATGGAAAAATGTAGTGGCATGGCCTAGGTACCTCCCCAAATTTGCTAAGTTTAACCCAAGGCTAAGTAAATGTTGGCTTCAGCCTTTGAGACCTTCATGGTCCCTAAAGGTCTAGAGTGCTCACTAATGGAGATTATCACATGAGAGCCAGCTCAGCAACAATCACAGCATCAGAAGAAAATGTGTCAGTACCGCTATAGCAGCCAATATTTTCACACATGAGAACAATTGCAAGATAATGCCAACACAAAAGCGAAATAATCTCACTATTGCATTCTGCACATATCCAGCAATACAGTGTTATTATGGTCATTTTGTGCATGCACCGTTTTGGTGTAACAGTACATGTCTACACTAATTGTGTCCCTTCCACACAATAAAATAAGTTCAATTAAATTTTGCATATCACTTATAGCCATTGGAAATAAATTTATGCCCCATGCCTTAAAAATAAGCCCTAATCCACTGCAACACCAATCAAAGTCATGAGAAGGAAGTGCCGCCAGCAAAATGCATTGTGAATAAATGCTTCTGAAATCGCGAGAATGAACCACAATCAACTTTGTACTTGGCTAATCGTGCTTCATTCTCATGACTGAGAACTAATTCATGGGACTGTCACATGAATGACTTGTGAGAGGATTCTGGGGTCTTCACGTAAGAAGTCCTGGATTAGTGCGATGCTGTGCAAAAATCTTTTCCTCAGTTGTGCAACTATACCTTGCACATACCTTTTCCTTGCTCGTGTGATAATCTCCAACATGAGAAAAATTATTATTTATTATCCCAATATCTTGCTCTCCTTCTGCTGAATTCAGAGTAGTGTCTATGCACCAAATTTGTGAGATAGGCTGGTCTGAAAGAAGGGCAGTAATAGCTAAGCAAAGATTTGAACCTAACTCTCCCTTCTTGTAGCCTAGGTATACCACTTCACCAATATGGTGCTGTCCAGTTGCTTATGGGTTGGGTCAAGACAAACTGAAAGACCATATTTCTTCATGA